CTTCGTTTTTATTAAGTATCTTGTTGTAACCTATGATTTAAGAGGCCCTTTTAATATGGGGAGGAAAGTATGTGCTCTTTCATGATTTGTTCATGTGAAGACCTAGATCCATTCTTCCTCCTTCCTGAATTTAACACACATTTATTAAGTGCCTACAATATGTAAGGCATTGTGCTAGAAGAGGGCATCTGGATGCATAAAGACATAGTCTTCAACCTAGAGGGTTATTTCTGGTCTAGTGCTTTAGCACACTGCACAGAGTAGTGCTCATAAATGTTTTTTACATGGATGACCTTTAGGATCAGTAGACTGGTTCTGCTTCCACCATTCCTTACTGTGGGATTTGACTTTTCTATGCATTTGTGTCTTCACTTTTAAAGGGGAGATGTTAATATTTGGCTTAATTGCTCTACATCACAGATTTATATGAACCACTCATTTCATTCAACATAGGCATAGACTCTGTGCTTTGTATTCTGCTGAGTGTAAGGTATATAGCAAGGAATTGAGTGGGAGAAAAGACAAGAAAACAGACCTGTGTTCAGACAACTTATAATGTTGCATGTAGATGGTCCAGTAGAGATCTATGAACAGTATACTTTGGTAGTATATTAGAAATATAAATGCTGATTTTTGCCCCCGTTATATGGGGAGAGTTTCTTAGAAGAAATGACAGTTGAACTGCATTGAAAAGGAGGAGGTAGGGAAGATGCGGAAGGGAAGACCTTGCAGGCAGAAGGGAAAATATTTGTAAAGACACTTGGGTATGAAAGGTCTTAGAGGGTTTAGGGAAGCATTGGGACTTTGGGTATGATGGAGTGAGTGTGGTCTCTGATTGGGGAGAGGAGAGGAGAGTGGGGTTCCCAGGTTGTGAAGCTAACATCTTTGGTGGTTTTTAAACAAGAGAATGAAATAAGCAGGTTTCTTTGTTACAGTGCTAACTAGTGTCTACCTTGTAAAGAATGAACTTGGCATAGAGGGCAGCTAGAGGCTAGATGAGAGGGTTTTGCTATTATTGAGGGTCAGAAATAGGGCAGAGATACTGGTGATAGAGGAAGGGCAGATTGGAGAGACATTTTGAGATCTGAGCAGTTGATGATCCTTTGGTGGTGGGGGAAAGTGGGGAATCAAGGGTGATCCTGAGGTACTAGCTTGAGAACTAGGTAGATGATGGTCCTGTATACAGGAAGTAAGAGGTTTGGGTGAAATGGAATTGATGAGTTCACTTTCTAACATGTTGAGTTTGAGGTACTTGTAAGGTATGTGGACAGAGATGTCCAGAACTGTACTGTTCAGTAGAACTTCCAGCTGCGATGGAAGTGTTCTGTGGCCACTAGCCACATGTAGCTATTGAGCACTTGAAATGTGGTGAGAGCAGGTGAAGAGCTGAATTTTAAATTTTATTTAATTTTAATTAATGTAAATGTAAGTAGCCACATGTGGCTAGTGGCTACCATATTTGACAGTGCAGGTCTAGACAGTGTTGGTTGGAAATACTGATCTGGAGCTAATGCTAGGATAGGGTGGTTAAGCTTCCTGGGTCTGAGAGGTTTTCAGGGGCACTGGACTCTAAAATGCTGAAACTGCAGAAGGCCCAGGCAAGTTGATTGTTGCTCACCCTAGCCAGAGGTGTTATTGGCCTGTAATTCTGAACTTTAGTTGTCATGTTTCTCAAACAACTAAGTCTACTCAGCTGCTTCCTGGGGTGGCTGTGTCATGGTTTGCAGCTTGTAAAGAAAATTCTCTTTCTTGGCATTAGTGGGTTAGAATATAGAACCAGCATGATTCTTGAAGCACATGCTTTGCCTGCTATTCTCCTTGTTTTCTCCACATTTTCCTTTTTCTTCCATTCTATACTCCTATGTAGTGAGTCCCCTCTTTGGTTGCACATTAAAATCACCTGGGGTGCTTACTTCTTAAAGAAATACGGATGTCCAAGGTCCACCTAGTTAAATGAGAATCTTGGGTTGGGGGTGAGTGGAGAGGAGGCTAGAGAGCTGTAGGATTTAAAAGCTCCCCTGGTGATTCTAATGTGCAGCCAGGATTGAAAAGTACAGCTTCAGACATGCTTCCACTTCTTTGCCACCTTCTTTTTTTACTACAACAGACTACAGTTGATCTTTAACCCCCTCTCTCCTCCTTTTCTTTGGTGGAAGGTAGTAGTACTTAGGATTTCAGAGATTTTCTGCTCTGCCATCTTTCAGGCCATGTATCACCGAAGTAAGCCTGAGACTGAAGGCATTAGGGAGCAGCCTGATCTCTTGCTGTATCAGTAATGATAACCTTTGTTTAACATGCATTCAGCATTTAATATGCCTGAGCACTCTTGTTGCATGTTAGCTCACCTACTCTTAATAAGAACACTATGAGAGATGTACAGTTATTATTCCTATTTTCCAGATGAGGAATCTGAGACGCAGAGAGTAACCAGTTTGCCCAAGGTACCTGACTAAGTTAAGTGCTTGGGCTGCACTTTTAAATTGCTGTGCTGTGTGACTTTACAGTATAGTGAACTATGCTGTATCTGTAAATGCAAGGGATGAAGTCTTCCCAAGCTGCAGATGTCTTTCACATGACAGAGAATTGGTCAAAATCATTTCTTCTTTTTTTATTAATTCAAAATTTGGAGGATCTCTCTCATTAAATCACTTGAGTTTCACAGCTTATGTTAAAAAGTTTTGAAACTGTGAGCCAGCTGTAAAACGATAAGGCTTTCTCTGTGACCCTTGGGCATTGCCAAAAGAGAAGTAGCTGAATAACATAGGTCATTATAGTTTTTACCAGTTTTGCTAAAGATGCGGTTACACATGTTTTCACTATGATATATGTGAATATTGTTTAGGGCAGTAATCTTGTTTTTTTTAAATTCAAAGAAATAAAAATATAAGTAAATATTTTTCGTTTATGCCCAATTCCCCAACTGCCCCTTCCCACTACCAAATGGTTGAATTCTTCCCATCCTTTTCCTCTCCTTTCCCTGTACTTGGCTTCATTTTTTTTTTTTTAAGTTGCTTACAGTCACGGAAAGCATATTTTCTGTGGTTTCCATTAAGATATGATAGGTAAAGATTCATGATTAATGCTTTTCATAAAGACCCAGTAATTGGGAGTCTATAGTGTTTCGCCTGGATTCTGTTGGCATTATAATGGAAGAACAGTGTCGGTATTTTTAAAAAGGCCTTCATAGCCGTTATCTGGTGCTTTAAATAGAAAAAAAAAATTTCTTACTGTCTTTTTTTTTTCTGTATGTCTGTAAAGTAGGTCATCAGGAATAGAGTGGTAAATCAATTTTGATTTTTCAACTTTATCTAAAGATACTTTTAAATGTCAAGTAAACGAAAGCAAAGTCTCTCAATAAAGTATTTATTTTTTGAAACAATATTAGATGTAGTAATAAGATTTGGGACCATGACCATAGACTACCTAATGATGTAAGTGCGTATTTTTAGAATCTCTTAGTTCATGTTTCTTTTTGTTAGAAAAAGGAAGGGGAGGGACATTTTATTGAATTTTCAGAACCGAGGACAATTTATTTCATACTCATTGGTTGGGGTTTGTCTGATGGAGGCTGATAAGGAGCTGGTGTGCAGAGGGCTTCATTCTGTGATCAATCAAATCTTTTCTGTTGAAACTGTAATGATTTTTTAAAGGGCTGTAGCTTTACATGTGTACATTTAGCTATCTTATGGGCTACCTAATTTTCAAAGATGAGAAAATTTTTTTCAAAAAAAAGATTCTTTTTTGAGTGTGGCTTCAATAAAATGTCCATTAATTCTTATTTAGATGGTTATGAAGTGCTGATAAAACTTCGGGCCATTGATGGTATAGTCTCATAAATATTTGTTTATTTGAATTGGATTTTAAGATTTCGGTCCGGTCATCATAGTAACTATTCTAAACCCTTCAGATCCCTGTTGAAAGGAACAGCATATACTTTACCATCTGAATTGTTTTGGCGGTATTCTCTGCTCCAGTGGTTAGAATCATACACTTTGGAATTAATGACCAGATTATATGGAATATTCTTGAAACCACTGGTTTCAGATTTTTAATTGATATCTTCAGGTTCTTCATAGAAATAGGAAGCTCTGTTTGTCTTTTTTTTTTTTTTTAAAGAAAAACTTAGCTTTTTGTAGATAAATCCCAATGAAATTTTTTTAAAGTAAAAGTATAAAAATCCAAACTTGATTATTGTCTGGCTGTCTGGTGCCAGTCAAAATGCTGGTCTGGGAGTGGGCAGTGGTTCTGCTGGGTCCACCTTAGACATTCTGCTCCATCAATAGTCCTAAATCAGTCTGTTTCTTCCCACCATACGCTCTAAATGGCACATTCTCAACTGTGAGGCTATCTAAAAATGGTGCTTTGGCTAAGAGATGAATGTGGGAGTTCAGCTTGCTTTTCTGGCAGTGGAGGATTTTAAGTAGAAAACTGCTGCTTTTCCCACATAGCTGGAAATAGTTCCAGATAATTCACATATTTTTCTAATTTAGTGAAATGAATCTGGCTGGGATCTGGTCATGGCTTGGTGGTTGATGATCTTGCAGTGCCTGAAAATAGTTGTTCTTAGCTGAATGCTCATAGCAGAAACTTTCCCCTGCGGATAAAGAAGATATGTGACATTGAGTTTATTTTCTGGAGGCTAATCTTAAATAAACCTGTGATTATAGCACCACAGACTAATCTTGCTGGAAGGAACTTCAGGGACACCAACCTGTCACAAGTGCTGAACATCAAAGATGAGAAGTGACTTGTCATAGGCACTTATGGCTCATAGGTCTTCCTAATAACCCAGGAGAACTGAAATTCGGCTCCGTGGGCTCACATCTGCTCTGGTCTCTTCTTCTTCCTTATTCTTAAAAGCAGGAGCCCTTCTTCTGTGGCCTCTTCTCCACCCCACCCAGAACCTTGTAAATAGACAATAGGGGTTAGTTGGGTTCCCAGGTTTTCCCATAGTAAACTTTTGATAGCATTATAACATTGCTTTCCTTTTTTTCTTTTAGCAATAGGTGAATATGAAGACCTCAGAGCAGAGAACCAGAAGACAAAGGAGAAGGTTTGTACTTTACCCTTTCTTTCCTCTCTTACTTGTGTAAAAGCCTAGACAGCATGGTGCATTGTTCTGCCACCAGTTTCAGTTAAATGCGAATGAGAGTGTTTTTTTTAATTTCTTTTCTCCTGCATGTGTGGTTCAGGCTAATATCAACTCCAGGCTCCAGATGGTAAAGAATAGCAGGCATGCCACAGTGGGCGCTGCTCTGGGAGATTAACTACACGGCTAAATGTGCAGCAAGGCACCAAGCCAAGCAACTCAAGCCCCCAAGAATTGTACTTTTTCCAGCAGTCAGATTTGGGATTCTAGTGATGGAATTGAAGGCCTGAGACATTTACCTTTTGGGTTGAGACATATTAGATCTGGAGAGAACTCTTTGGAATTAGTCATTGGTGTTTAGCTCAGATGCTTCCCTAAACCCTTTGTATGTTTGCTTCCTCTAAGTATATGAATAATCTGTTGGAAGTTGAAAAACACCCAATGTGAAGATGGTGAAGCGTGGTGAATATTTTCCTGGGCTCTGGCAGTTTCATTTTTTAACGGTTAAATAATTAAATTCTACTTACCTTTATGTCTCTGGACATATCCATTTAAGATTCATGAGTGTTTTGTTTTGTTTTGTTTTGTTTTGCTGTACGCGGGCCTCTCACTGCTGTGGCCTCTCCTGTTGTGGAGCACAGGCTCCGGACGGACGCGCAGGCTCAGCGGCCATGGCTCACGGGCCCAGCCGCTCCGCGGCATGTGGGATCCTCCCAGACTGGGGCACAAACCCGTGTCACCTAGCATCAGCAGGCGGACTCTCAACCACTGCGCCACCAGGGAGAAGCCCCATGAGTGTTTTTTTAACATATATCTTTTTTTCCCTATAAGTTTAGGGAAGGGACATACAGAAGGGAAGGCTAAAGAAAGTAGAGGGACTGAGTAGAAAATGAAAAGGAGAGAGAGGGGGAACTGTCCATTATTGTTATTTAGATATAAATGAAACTTATTTTAAAAATTTTAAATTTCTATTTTTAGAAATTTGTTTGATAGACCAGATATTTCAAAGCATAACATCCATGGTGGAAAATTAATAAGACAGGTCCTTCGTGGTTATGAAAGAAGGTACACATCATTATGCAACCTTGTCTTTAAAATTTCAGAGTAAGAGCTGTAATGAAAATTGGCAGTGAGCTAAATATTTGTAAAACTTGTGGCACGTTTGTGGGTATTTATTGAACTCTTAAAAATCATATTTAACTTTTTTACTTGTATTAATTTGCCACCTATATAGATGTTGGTGTGGTGGTATTAATGGTAAGTCCTCTAGTTCAAAGCACATTATAATAGATTTTTAGATCGTTATTTTTCACCCACGTTTCATGCTCCTTTGCTCATTTGTAAATATTATTTGTAAATATTATTTTTGAAATAAAATTTTTATTTAAAAATTTATTTATATTTGAAATTTTAAGTATCTTCCCTTCCTTTCACTAGGCAATTCAGGGAATGGTGGGTGGGGTGATGAGAATATCTGTGATAGAAGGTGGCTGGTACATGCGTCTCTAATATGGTAAGGAGGTCACATAATACAGTTTGACAAGATTTCTAATTCTAACATAACCACACAAAATCACAGATGTCCCGAGGATGCCAACAGGTGGGGAGTATATGCTTAGATCTTGGGTCCCTGTTGTCCCATAATTTTAAAGCAAAGCTAATGGGTGAAGCTTATGCCAGATAGCTTGAGTCTTTTTCCGTAAGATACCCAGCCATCTTCCAGCTCTAGGAGAAGGAGCCAAGACGTTATCAGTCAATTGAGTCTCTTCCATATATGTTCCTGGTCCAAGGGGGGAAGAGCAAAACAAGTTGGAAGGGTTAATTCAGGAGAACTCCTTGGTTTAACCTGGAAGATAGGAGGAGGGAAAGCAAACAAGTGTCTTCATTTGATGAAGAAAGAAGGATATAGAAGAATGTGAATAACATAAGAGGAAAAAGAGTAAATTTTTTGTTTTCTCTTATCCTTCTTTAATCCTTGCTTACTTGTAGACCTAGCATTGCCCTAAAGATAGTAGATGTTCTATAAACATCCGTTATTAGTGATGATGATGGTTGTTTAACTGTGAGCCACTTTCTGCAGTGAGTTTTTATGTGAACCATCTGTTATACAAGTGAATTGTAGGTAAGATGCATTTGGCAAAACAAGGATTAAAAATTACCTTAGCCCATTACCTGTTTACATGTTTCTCTACACAGAGTATGTCCTGATACTTTTGTAACATCTGTATTGACGTGCTTCTGTACTTATTCTTTAAAAATAACTATTAACAGAAATGGGAAGAAAAGAAATGAAAGCAATATGGAATGCTGTGTGGTTGGGTAAAACAAAATAGGATGGTTTTAAGTTTACCGCACTCTGTTTATCTTGTGTTAAAAGACTAGTAGGCTTATTACTGCAGCTTTTTCCCCGAATTGGGGGCTGTATTACAAAGGAGGGAAGCCTATAATAAAAGCCTTTTTAATACAGCACAGAATGAGTAAAAGCAGCTTTAGTTCTGGAGGTGGTAAATGGAGAACACCATTTTCTCTGGCAAAGCATTCTCTGTGCCTGGCTGTGTGAGCTTTGTCCAGTCCCCATCAGCAAATATTCATGGCCATTCTTACCTCGTGACCCCACACGAGTTCAGTTAAATCAGTCAAGGATAGGAATCTAAAGTAAGAGTCTTTTGCCATAGTTAATTTGATGTGGGGAAATTTTGCAGAAGTGTAAGCGACCAGAAAAATAAATGGCAAGTTTTTTCCTTCTGTGTGTCCACATTAAGTCTAAACATCTTTGTTGTCAGGTCATGAACCTTATCAATGGGAAGAGACAGTGGGTGTGATTCCTTTGGGTAGATCTTTTTATGCCCTGTTTAGAATCTCCTCTGTTGAGACAAGTGGTAGGACATGAATTTCCTCAGAACAGGCGGTTGCTTAAGAGACTGTTTTTTTAAGCAGCTACTGTGTCATGTACATTCCCTTATCTCCCTTATCTGATGCTCCAAACAACCCTGTGCCAGCTCTATTTCACAGAAAACAGGACCTCAGGGCTTAACAGAGTCTAGATTCAGACAGGGTATTCTAACCAAAAATACTCATTTTGAAGCAGGTAAACCTAGGGGATCTAATTGACTTTTTCCCCAAAGGTCTTGGTTTTATTCTTAATTTTTTATTGTTAGCCCATGAATTTTCCACAGCAAATTATCAGACTCAATACTTTTCTGGATCGTTTGTCTTCATCATCTATTGGTTTGTATTTAAAAACTGAAAGTTAAATATCAAATCAGTCTTACATCAGAAAAATTCTCGCGTGCGTGTGCCTCTGTGTGTTTGTTTGTGTGCGCGCGCGCACATGTGTATAGATTCTGACATAATGCATTCCAAGGGTAAGAGTAGGAGATTTGGGAGGGTGGGCCAGTGTTTTAATGATCTTTTCCTTTGCAGTTCTCCCTTTTTAAGAACAATATAACGCTGATCATTTTGTGGTTTTTATCAATGTCTTTGAGGATGGAATCAGGATCTGAGTTGATAAGGAAAACTTTTTGCTGAATGCCTTCTGAGTACTGGGATATAAAGAAAAATGTATGAAGGTCCCACTCTAGAATAAAACTACTCTAATGAGGGACGCAGGCAAGTTGACAAATAACTGTGATAAATTGTACATATAAGTGAATGCTTAGAGTTTAGGGGTGGGATGGGAAAAGAACAAAAAGACAAGGTTCCTACTCAATTCCATGTGACTAACTCTTATCTCTTAATGCTTGGATTAAATGTGGCTTACTTTTTTTCAAAGTCTTCTTTCTCTCACAAGCAGAATTGTCGCCTCTTTGTAATGAAACATCTGTATATTTCTTATGCACTTACCACATTTTATCAACCAAAATTCATTATCAAAATATTATATAGGGTACATGTAAGATATCTGGGTTGGATTAAAGTGTAAAAGCTTCAGTTTTGTTTTTTTTAGACATCAAGATAGGTGGAGATTATGGAAAGGGTGCTACTTATTTTTTGCCCAGTTTCTAAATAGCATTATCAACAATATGTTAAAAAGTGAGAAGGCCTATCACATTGAAGTCAACAACCCTTCCAAATTATTTTTGGGGTAAAAAAAAATAGAGGACTTGTATATTTTGAAGTCAACCAAATGAAGTTTTACTCTGCTTGTGAAGCAATCATCATATTTAAATGTGTTAGTCATGCTTCTACAATTGAAGGGCATTCTCTTATGACTCATTCAGGATCTTTGTCATAGCTGTTTGTGGTTTTTTTCCTATATGGGGGGGCAAAGCTTTTTTGAGCTTTTAATGGAATAGCTTTCACATTTCTCAGAGTGGTGGGGGCAATGTAGAGTGTGCATAAAAAGAAGGAAATCTGTAGAATAGAAGAATGTCTGCCTTCGAACAGTAAGTATTTATGTTTAATTCTATGTTCCGAGATCGAGTTTTGAAATGAATAAATGTTTAAGTGGCTGATTAGAAGTCGTTTGGGTGAGCTACTGTAACACTGCATCAGGCGGTTCTGTCAGCTTGCCAGGAACAATGAATGAAAAGGGAATGAGACAGACACTTTCCAAGACTTAGGTTTCAAGAAGCAAGATAGATGATACTGTTTGCATCTTGACTCAGTTGTCTATTGTTAAAATTTCTTCATCTTTTGTAAATTTCAGAGGTGAAGGTCCCAAAGTATTTTATTTAAAAAAAATCAGTAAAGAAGCCACTTTAAAGAGCAAGATATGCATCCATTATGCTAACTGTTCATGCATAATACATTCACATACATGCAGTTTCTTTAGAGCAGAGTGGCAAGTGGTTGTGCCAGAGAAAAAGTAATTACTTAGCAGTTTGAAAGTGAAAATGAGTCTCTTATTAACAGCAATCTATCCAGAAACAAAGAGCAAGGATCTCTGTTCTGATGACATGTGTTTCCATCTAACACACAATACCTAGAATTTGGAGAATGCTGTAAGACAGCTTTAGGGGACAGCTACTACTTTATTGCCTGTGAAAATTGGAGGGAAAGAACTTTGAATTGGAAGAAAGAACACTACCGAAAGAGAGTGAAAAGAATTCCATCCTAGTGGGAATGATTTAATTTATTGTGTTCTTTAAGGATAAGCACAGCTGAGTTCTAGCCAAACTTACATAGGTGGAACAATAGAATTGTTGAGTTTTACTAAAAATGATTTGATGGTCCTCGAACTGCATCACCAAATATTCTAAAACAGGTAAATATGGACAATTCTGATACTTTGCCTGTTTAAACTTTTAAATATTGTAACTGGACATAAAAGGAATGAAGTTCAAGACAAATAAGTAAAAAATGGTGTGGAGTTGAGACCTTTTCAGACTTAATGTTGTAGCCTCTGCTGTATGTTCCTGTAGTGCAGTACTTCTCTCATTATGGCAAGTGTTCTTATAAATTGCTTGTTTCTCTGTTGATCTTTCTTGGTTGATCATAACTTGTGAGAGTTATGATCATAACTTGTGAGAGCACATTGCCTGTTATGTTCCCCACTGTATTTTCTCTGCTTAACATAGCACCTGTATGAATAATTTGTTCAATACTTGGAGGAAGGAAATAAAGGCATTCAGTGATTACAGTAGATGCCTGCTTAGAAGTCTAATTCAGTCAACTGTACGGTAGTTGTCTTTGTGTAGATTGCCTACTCTGTTGCTGTCCTGTGTATGCAGTGCATGTGTGTACTTCTTGGGCCCCACACTGGCCTTTCTGTAGGCTGGCAACTCTTTGTTGCATTTGTGTGTCATGGAGATAAAAATGAATGTTTATGTTAGTGGAAGTTAGACACAATTCAGAATATTGGGGGTTTTCTTGCATAAAATATACACACAGCAAAATATAAAGATATCTTAGTACCTACAGTTATCTGTACTTCTGCTGAGCCCCGTTAAGCAGACATTTTAGTACAAACAGCAGTTGGATGATATGTGAGGCAGAAAGAACAGAGCTGCCCATTTCGATCGGGGAGAGGGGAATACCAATACACACTGGAAAGACTTTCCTTCACAAATCAGTCTGCCAGTGCTTTGAGATGCTGCTTTAGTTTCAGAAGCCAGGTATCTGCCTGGATGAGCCTCAAGGAAGAGTTCTGGAAAACAGCCAGGGCTTCTAATATGAAGAGCTTTCAAAAGCAGTAAGGCTAACCTCCCGCCAATTCACCACTTCATGAAGAGCCAAAATAGAGACTCTAGAATTGATGTAATGTGATCCAACTTGCTTAAACCAGCCAGCACTCGTGCTGCTGGGTTCTACCCCAGCCTTGAGCTACAGAGAATCGTTGAGCATCGTAATTAAGGGACGTGGGCCCAAGAACATCTGTTGCTATTGCAGAGTCTTCACGAGCAATTCTCACACAAAAAGCAGTTTCTACAAATGATGCAGCTGCGTGAGCAGGAGAGAGGAAGGGGTAGGATGGGTGAGGGGCTTCTGTGGGATGTAAAGATACAACGTTCTTCCAAAAAGGCCCGGAATCTTTGCTACTTTCTCTCTGTTGGTAGATCGAGAGAAAGGTTACAAGATATTTTTCTGGGTTCATCTAAAATGATGAAATAAGGAGATGTTTGGATTTCTGCTTAGTAAACGGGTACGTCCTTCATATTTTGCTCAGCTCTGGTTGGAATAAATAAGTTGCTTTTGCAGCATGTGTAAATCCCCGCCCCCACAATACACACCCCTTTCAGTATCCATAGCAGATGGTAAATTCTGTGGCTGCCAGTTCTATCATAATATGGTTGCAGAAAATAGAAAGCACAGCAACATGAAGACCTCTGATAGAACACAGCTGGTGTTGGGAGACTGCTTCTGAATCTGCTGGTGATGACTATAGAGTTAGTGTGAAAGCACATAGCTGGACTGTAGAAACTTGTTACTTGAATGTTGGGATAAGACTGTGATGTTGAGACCCGTTATTAACCAAAGCATGTCTACCTGGGCCTTATGAGCGAAGAGCATGGGCCATGGGTGGGCAGACTGGCAGGGTGGTGGGGAAGTACAAGGGGAACAGGTACTACATTCTAGAAAATGAGAGGAGCGTTCCTGAAACAGCTGGCTAGCACGCTCATGAAGTTAGGTGTTACACTATCTGGTGGGGGAAGGATCTCATAAACGTATTTGAGAATCCAGGACTCTATAGAGTGTTTAGAATTTTAAACACCAAAAGACAATAAATACAATTTACATGTGAAGTTGGGACTAGAAACTGTATTAGAATTACTTTTTTACAGAAGTTAAATTGACACAAGAAAACTTTAATGAAAGGATATGGCTTTTCCTTTAGAAAATGGTCCTGCCTGACCCCTCTTGTGGAGGGTCTAGGTCAGGATTTAGTAAATAGCTTTGCTAGTTTAACACTGTGTACTCGTTTCATGTACTCTAGCCAGAATGGATTTACCCAAATGAACAGAGATAGGTTTTTAAAACTAAAACTTCTAGAAAGTTTCAGTTCCTGAGAGACTGACGTACAAAACTGAACTGCTTTCTTAATTTTTTTATTTTAAAAATATTTTAAAAGCATAGAAAAGGGCAGAGAATAATATAACAAATACACACCTCACAGAATTAGCTTATTTTTTTTGAAACTTAAGAAGAAAAAAGAATGCTACAGATAAAATTGAAGGTCCTTTGTGTCACCCAGCCCTAGACCCCTTCCCCTCCCTATCTTTTAAGAGGCAGCTACTGTTATGTATTTTGTGTGTATCCTTCTAGTTCATGTTTTTATGTTTTTATATATACCATATGTATTGGGAAATATACAGATACAATATAAATATATAAAGTGTTTTTGCGTGCTTAAGGTATCATTTGATATATATTCTATAATTCCTTTTACTCAACATTATGGTTTCTGAGGTTTATCTATGTTGATACATTTAACTTCAGTTCATTCATTTTCATTTATAGTGTATTATATGGATATACCATGATTTATTGTTATTATAAATGCAGAACATGTTTGTATAGATCATTTTGTGCACATTGCTAGAGATTCTAGAATCTAGAAGTAGAATTGCTGAGTCATAGGGTATGTACAAGTCCAATTTTGTTAGTTTATTTCCAAAAGTAGTTATGCTAGTTGACATTTCATCTGCAGTATATGAGAGTATCCTACATCTGATCCCAGACTTCTCCAGTTTTTGCCAGTCTATTAGATGAGAATATCTTACTATTTTAATTTGGGTTTTCCCAATTATCAGTGGCATCATAATTTTTTAGCCATTGACATTTGAAAATAAAAATATCCAAAGGTGTGAAATCCCAAAAAACATATCCCAGATGTGTTTTTCTGACATGGTAGGATTAAAATATAACTTTGTTCATATGGTCCTCTTAGTATAATAGTATTCCCACACAATTAAAATTTTAATTATCATTCTAATAGCTAAAATCACTTTTTAAAGTTTTAGATATTTTTGATGAAAATCTTCCTAAAATGTGTTTTACTTCCTATTTTGTGAAAATCGGGGTGAATTGAATTCAGTTCTCATAATGAATGTTAGGTTTTGAAAAAATTCATTAATGTCTACAGAGCCAGTTTAGATACTTGTTTCTGTACCTGATACCCTAAAAGATCCTCATGCTTTAATAAGTTATTTTTGCCTTCCCTCCTTTTAATTTGCTACCTTCTTCTATTCAGAATTCTAAGGATACATGGATGGTTTTTTCTTGAGTGAGAGCGTGCATGGGACTTGGGCAGCAGTTTGCCTCCAGGCAGTGGTCACTTCCAGTGTGCCCCCAGGGTTCTGGATAATTGAAACTGCGCAGTTTCAGCAATCTGACCTGCGGATGAGTGGGGTTTTTACTGTGTCAGCAAAATACCTACTTAAAAAGAGGCACAAATATTCTCTTAAAGAATGAATACATTTTAACTCAAGGATGTTAAATTGGTCTGTTACTGAAGAGATAATGAGCCTGGAAGGTGACTCATTATCTTAGAAGGTCTGAGAAAATTGGCCAGATACAAGTGGTACAAATATCATGCTGGTGAGCAGTAACAAATACCATGTGGCCATTCATGCCTTTTTTCCCTTCGTATATTTTTTTTCTTTTTAAAATTATTCTATTTTTCTTCTTTTTTATTGAACTATAGTTGATTTACAATATTATGTTAATTTTATGTGTAGAGCAGAGTGATTCTGTTGTATGTGTGTGTGTATTCTTTTCCATTAGGTTATTACAAGATGTTGAATATAGTTCCCTGCGCTATACAGTAAATCCTTGTTGTTTATCTATTTTATATATAGTGATATGTATCTGTTAATCCCGTACTCCTAATTTATCTCCGCCCTCTCCCTTTTGGTAACCGTAAGTTTGTTTTCTATGTCTGTGTGTCTGTTTCTGTTTTGTAAATAAGTTCATTTGTATTATTTTTTAGATTCCACATATAAGTGATATCATATATTTATCTCTGTCTGACTTACTTCACTTGGTATAGGAATCCCTAGGTCCATCCATATTGCTGCAAATGGCACTATTTCTTTTTTATGGCTGAATGATATTCCATGGTATACATATCACATATCTTCTATATCCATTCATCTGTTGATGGACACTTAGGTTGCTTCCATGTCTTAGCTATTGTACATAGTGCTGCTATGAACATTGGGGGTGCATGTATCTTTTTGAATTAGAGTTTTTGTCTTTTCTGGATATATCATTAATGCTTTTTTAAGATTTTTATTTTTTGTTTTCATAAAATTGTTTATGTTTGCTCTTTCTTGTCTTTCCAAACTTATGATATAAAGTTAACATTTCTGCTTTTTTCTCATTTCAGTGTGACAAAATTAGGCAAGAACGAGATGAAGCGGTTAAAAAACTGGAGGAATTTCAGAAAAGTATGTGAGCATTTCAGTGGAATTGTTCTAACACATACAACTGTGCTTTGGGATTATGTGGGTAGACATGTACCCTGTGTTTAGTTGCTGATGCATTAGGTGTCCAAGAAAGGAAGAATTGTCTTCCTATTTGCCCAAAAAGTGCTCTGGCATTACTGTGATTTTTAAAGAAATGGATTGAGCGTTATTGTTTCATAAGTATATTATTTATATATATATATAAAACACAGTTTGTACTTGTTATAAAAAATTTTACTATACAGAACAGTTAAAAGAGAGCAAATTTGTTATCTTCACTCTTTGAGAAAAGCCAACATTAGTATTTTATAGTCTTTTTTTCCTGATCTTTTATCTGTGAAATATATGTATCAACAAAAAATACAGTCATGCTTTGCATTCAGTTTTATAGCCTACTTTTTTTCAGTAAACAGTATATTATAGTCATCTTTGCATGTCAGTAGAGATATGTATATCAGTTTTTAGTGTTGCCCATAGTATTCTATTATATGATAGTACCGTAATTTATTTAAACAATTCTTCAGTGATAGATGGATTATTTCTGGTTTTTAGTAATTATCAATAATGCTGTGACAAGTATTCTTATACATACATTTTTACAGTGGTCTGGTTAGTTCCTTAGGGTAATTTATGGAAAAGGAATTCTAGGTTTACAGAACTATACATTTTTAGGAGTTTGGATGGTTGAAATAGCCCTCTCACCAAGGAAAGTTATATTCCCACAGAAGCTTTAATAATCTTCTTAATTTTTGCTATGTTATTTTTTATGTGATGTAAATCTGTTATTACTTCATCCCCTAAAATAGAACATATCTGATCACACTCAGAAGGATCAGAAGGAAATAAGTCACGGGAAAGGGCCAGACCTTAGCAGGGAGAGTGACCCTCCCCCTTAGAAGCAGGGCCTTTGTCCATCCTTCTGCAGATGCCATGTTAGTCAGGTTGTTTGATTATATCATAAAGCGTTGACTTGGTAACTACACCACAAAGCATTTTATTCTTGTTGAAGGTAAAGCAGCTATAAAAATGCAGCATTACAGTGAAATTTCAATAGCCAGTTTATTTCAGGTATCTGGCTGTAACGAGGAAAACCAAAGGGAATATTGTTGATAAAACCTATCTTTGGTGGCCAATATGCTATGACAGAACTATTTTTTATCTGTGAATGTGTGGATTGTAGCTGTTTAGGACCTTCTCCTTCCCTAATGCAGGATTAATGGGACATTCTTACACTTGAACTGACACTGGGTTACAGCTTCAAGAGTTATACCATTGACATAGTTACCAGTTAATGTGTTTGAATTAGTTATTGATACTGGATTGGCATACTCTGTGCAGTGGGAATAGTTCGAATTCTTATGGTTGGAGTTATAAAATGTTTTGGTCCAGGTAGGTAGTAGGGATTTTACCTCTTGCATTATGCAGAAATGGAAGCAACTTCCTACCAAATCAGCCTACCTTTAGAGTAACATGTAAACTTTGCTTTCATCTACCATTTCTCTTTTCCATTTCTCTTCCTCTAAATACCTTTGATAGTTTTAAAAATTTACATTTTTCCTTATGAGCAACTCAAAGCTTGAAAGAAATCATCTTTATTGTTGTTTTCATTCAACTTTTACCTTTACTACATCAACCTAATTTAAGTTTGGATGGCAGGAGAACAGAGTATTAACTCTTCACTCAGTCTCAAAAGAACAGAAAATGGAGACTAAGAAAACTTTAAATATTTGTTAAAAAATTGAGTTAAATGGTTCACGACTTTAGAACATAGAGTAGAATTTCAGATTTGGAAGGGAATGAGGCAGTTTTCACCAGTAAAAGGCACCATTTGGTGTGAATCCCTGTAGCCCTGAGCAATTCCTTCATTAGTAAAAATGGAATAAATGACCCTACCTTATAGGCTGTTCGAGGATTAAATGAGATAATCCATGTAAAAAGTGCTGAACACAGTGCTTGGCACTATAGTAAGTGCTCAATAAATACTAGTTGCGGGCTTCCCTGGTGGCGCAGTGGTTGAGAGTCCGCCTGCCGATGCAGGGGACGTGGGTTCGTGCCCCGGTCTGGGAAGATCCCACATGCCACGGAGCGGCTGGGCCCGTGAGCCATGGCCGCTGAGCCTGCGCGTCCGGAGCCTGTGTTCCGCAACGGGAGAGGCCACAACAGTGAGAGGCCCGTGTACCGCAAAAAAAAAAAAAATACTAGTTGCTGCTACCACCATCTCATTTACTGCACCATCCAGGGCTTGACTGCCCTTCAGTATTAAGAGTTTGTATCATTTACCTTTGATGAATTAGTTTCTGAACACCAGTCTCCACATTTGGACAGCTCCAGGGGAAGGTTTCTTTTGGTACTAAGTTGAAATCTGCCTTCCTGTAATGTTTACCTAGTTCTAGTTCTGGTTCTCCAGGTGTAGGAAGAGCAGCCGAATGAGGGTCAGGAAGAGCTTTGTTAGGCTGTTGGGATCAACTCTTCCTAGCTTGGCATACTTTTCGTAGCTGGTTTTGCCCATATTTCCGTGTGATTCTTGGCCCTCTGCCAGCTCTTCCCGAGCCTTTCTCCTGTCTTTCTGGACGGAGTACACCACTGACTGCATAGTAAAGCCACGTTGCCTAGAAAGACAGATTTCTGTGAAAGTGAAAGTAACTAAAGTTCTTTCATGTCTTTTAGGCCACAACATTAGATCCCCTGCTCTGTTTTAGTGCCTACCAGTTTTCCTGCATACCTGCTAGCTTTCATGGCTGTTTTCTTACTACATGAAAACCTTTCTAAGTAATCTGATATTGCACGAGAACTTATGGTATGTTTGCCACGT